CCCCAAAACCCCAAAACCCCAAAACCCCATGATTCCAAATCAATATAAATTGCAAAGTAAAGTGATATTAATTCTGATATTTTAAGCCTTAGAAATTGAATTTATCACAAGCATAAAATTGACTAGGAATAACAAAAGCAAATTAGGCATAAAATCTCTTCTCATAATCCTAATATTTCCTTCAATATGATGCTTAGCTATTCAACACTAACCGGCTTTGTTATATAGCAATCCATGCTAGCGGCAAAGCATTTCTTTTAAAAGCCTTCAGTTGAGTATGCAGTTAATGCTGCTATGTAACTTCTAAGATTTTAATCGTATTCACTCTCTAACAACCTAATTTATTAAGTGGCTTAAAATCCATCCATTAGCGGCATATTGCAATCCATAAATATCAATTTATACCTTAAACACTTTTGCCTTTAACAGCACTATATTAGATTATTTCTCATGGCTAACCTCTACTTGACTTTTTGAACAGCTTCAATGCCATTACTAGCCTTATCGACTTTCAGTTTGAATTAAAGCTCAAGTATGGCTTCCAGAGTTACAAGATTAAAAACGTTATCATCCACTATCAAAATGTCGCATAACCTTTCACAAGAGCATTGACCTCTCATTTGATCTGTCATAAATATCGGTTCATCAGAAATTGGCACTTTTATATCCTCAAGGTAGATAGACTATGTAATTAATGACTGAAATTCTAAATTTCCTTGATGTAAGGAGATATTTCTTTCCTCGATTTCAGTATTCAAGTAGCGGAGCTTTAGGTTACTTTAGAATAAACTGTCTTATTGAATTTAATCGTTTTTAATTTGCTTTTTTTATTTTTAAGTAGTTGGAGCCTCAATAGAGAAGATAAACCGACACCCTTAGCTATAATCCTTGTCCAAAATTATTTAACCCTCAAACATTGATATTATTTTTTTACATATACTTAAGCCAAGACCTACCCCACTGGTATTAATTTCAGCTGTTGCTTCTAATTTTCCAAATAAAGTGAATAGCTTATTTCTATCCTCTGGCTTTATACCGATACCAGTATCAGATACACTTATCTCTAATTTGCTTTATCTATAATCGTATTTTGCTTCAACTTTGATTTATCCCTCATAGGTAAATTTTAATGAATTCTAGAGGAGATTAAGTAGCACCTGCTTGATTCTTTGATCATCGAGATAAAGTTCTTGAGGAAAATTAGAATCAAATTCACAAATGACTTAGATCCCTTTTTCGTTAGAGCCGATGCTGAATATATCTATCAATTCCAAGATTGATGATTTTAAATCTACCCATGCTAAATTCTTGTTGAACTTTCCATTTTTTATTTGGAACAAATCAAGAAGATCATTGACCAGGAAACACATGAATTTAGAAGAATTCTTTATTATCCTTAAAAATCTTTTCCCAGTTTCTTTAGTTATAAATTCATCTAGATTATTAAGCAACCCTCCAATAATGTTGAGAGGAGTTCTCATATCATGAGAAACTGTAGCCGTAAGCATTTCATAAAAATGGTTTTCAATTTTGAGTTTCTCATATTTTACTACAGGAGTTAGATTTTTTACCATAATTAAACAGTGAGTAGTATTTTAGAAAAATAATTAGCACTAGCTAAGACTAACTATTTGGTTACTACTACTACCCTAAGGTTCATCAGGTTAGAAAAGCTGGTAATCTTCATCACTCTTTTAATTGATTATTTGAAAGCAATAATTTTCATTTTCTCCATGATTTTAAATTGATCCTTCTAATACTGAAAATAGTTCTTATATCTAATTCTAATTTCCTTATTCTACATCATGGCTATTCGGTGATTTAAAGACCTTCAATACCTTATCAGTCAACGAATACTTAGTCAGAAGAAGATTAGGATCATTATTATATTCATCTCCAGATAAACTAAAAAGTCTTTTGTACTCTTAATTTACCAAGGTAATCTTTTTAGTTTCTGGATCAAAGAGTACGATACCCTCGGGAAGATTGTCTAACAGCTTTCTCATATCTTCATTCATTAATTAAATCTAACGAAGCTAAATAAAGCTCTACTTAAGTCTGAGTTCATGGAAGTAGCAGGTATAAATGAGAAGTAAAGTACCAGTAGCAATGCTTGAATAAGTATAGTGATCATATAATCTCAATGCTGTCATATAGTATATTATTGTGCCAAAGCAAATAATAATTGCAGCTACACCAGTTACCAACCAGTTATAGCTAAATAGCAAACCTTGAATAATGTGCAGAACTAGAGAACTTATATTGCCGATGATTTCTTATTGACTAGATCGTTAGTTTATGATGAGTAATTAGCAAATGAATAGCGGAACAATGACAATACTTTGATACTTGCAGAATGTTAAAGGCCATTTATATGTTATTGCTAAGCATATTGTTTAAATTGCTACTTAAGTCCATCTTAAGCCCCATTGAAATGATTATATATTCTGCTTTGTTATTAAAAGGTAAATTATGCTGACCATAGCGAAGAATATTCTAATAAAGTATGTCACCTTGCACATGAATCTTATATCCAAGTCTCTTTCAATCTAGTACTGTAGTCTAATCTAAGGGTCTTTTATTCTGAGAGTAAATTTAGAATCCATTTAATTTCTAATTGCTTATTATATAAATCAAGAGTTACGAGTACTTCCTATTTATACTTAACTCACGATTATCTTTTATTCATTATTTTTAGTTATTTTTAATCTAACTTATAAATTCAAACTTTAAAAATTAGTTTAATGGGGTTTTGGGGTTTTGGGGAGATCG